GTGTGTGTGTGTGTGTGTGTGTGTGTGTGTGTGTGTGTGTGTGTGTGTTTTAGAGACAGGACCTCATGTATCCCAGGCTGGCCTTTTAACTCACTATGTAACCCGAGCTGGACATGAGTGTGCCACCATGTCTGGGTATTATGTTATTTTCATTATGGAAAGAACATTGCAGGGTCCCCCAGCTATGTTAGACCTTCTGAGCAGTTTAAGCTTTTAGCAAAATTTGTCTTCTGATTTCAGAAGAAGAATGAATTACAGTAATGCACAATGATAATCGCTACCTCTTCACTTGTCCTCACAGGCTTATTTGAAGTACAGCAGTGTCCAAGAGGAAAACACTGCAACTTTCTTCACGTGTTCAGAAACCCCAACAATGAATTTAGGGAAGCTAATAGAGACATTTACCTGTCTCCAGATTGGACTAGCTCCTCCTTTGGTAAGAATTTAGAGAGGAGAGAAAGGACCAGCCACTATGATGACTATTATGGCAGGTCAAGAAGAAGAAGGAGTCTGACTCCTGACTACAAGAGAAATGGTGACTCTGACCGTAAGAGCAGTAGTAATCACAGGGGGAAGAAGTCTCACAAACACATGAGGAAGTGTCGTGAGAGGCGCAGTTCACCTAGTAGAGGAAGAAGAAGGGATCACAGCCCAGGTCCCTGGAGCCAGAGCCGGAGGAGCCGCCGTAGCCGTAGCCGTAGCCGCAGCCGCAGCCGCAGCCGCAGCCGGAGCCGGAGCCGGAGCCGCAGCCGCAGCCGCAGCCGCAGCCCTAGTCAGAGCCGGAGCTCATCAAGGTCCAGGAGTCGTGGCAGGAGGAAGTCAGGTAGTACAGACAAAACCACCCAAAGCCCCAAATCTAAATAAACTTGGTTGTTTTTAAACATGTCTGTTCTTTTTATGGCAGCTATTTATCTGTATAGTTTGACAAGGCTAGCCAACACTGTCATGTAAATCATACTTTTACTTTTTGATAAATTGTGTTTGTGTGTGTGTGTATATATACAAATATATATAAAATATGTAATATTATATATTATATACAATATATGAAATTATATATTATATATATATGAAATTCCTTGTAATCCTAACCTTGAGAGCATCCGTTAACACCAGAGCAATGCTTTAGTATTTTTTTCGTTTATCTTCTTCTCCCTTTCTCTCTCTGTTTGTGTAAGCGTACCATGTACCACATAACAAGTGTGGTGGTCAGAGGACAACTTTCAGGGGTCACTTACACAGTGGAATTCAGGGATTAAACTGATGTCATGAAGCTTTTACACCAGGGACCTTTACTCATTAGAGACCATGGAGGCCAGAAGAGGATGTAGACTGGAGTTATAGATGGTTGTGAGCTGTAATGTGGGTGGTAGGAATTGAAGCCACGTTCTCTAGAAGATTAAGTAGCCAGTACTTTTAACTGCTAAGCCATTTCTCCAGCCTAACAGACTTTATTTTTTTAACTCAAACATCACGTGTGGCTTTAATGTTTTTCATTTAGTTGTCTTATTTCATCAATCCCAATTCTTTCTAAGTCCTATAATTCTCATCTTTACTCATTACAAAGAGAGTACATATACCAATTTATTTGACAACATCCGTATTTTTAGATTTTTAAAGATGACTCTCTTAGATTTCCTTAATGATTTCTTAGAGTAAACTTTATCAAAAAAGGCAATCCAAAAATCCTCCTAGGAAGACTAAAAAAAGAAAAAAAAAATCACTCTAACCTCACAGCTCTCACAGCACAGCATTATTTTGATCTTTGCTAGTTTGGCAGGTTTTAGGTATTTAAGTGCTTATTTTTATTGTTAATATTTCTTTCTACTTAATGGCCACATTCTTATTTTTCCTTGTAAAACAGTCTATTTAATTTTTTCTGTATGTAAATACAAATTGATTTTTCTTGCTCTAAAACTTATTTCCTGTTTCAAAGTGTGGAAGAAACTATTTCCCTAGTCCTCTTTCCCCATATTTACAGTTCCTCCATCACCTGGAGGCTGTCAGGGTGTGTATCTTGAATAGTGTGTTGTGAAAGTTCTTTATAGAGGTAAAGCATTTTGCCATTTCCCGGAGAGTTAGAGTTGTCACTATTGAATCCATCCACTATTAATCATCACAAACGAGTGGACAGCCAAGGTGCATTACCCCTCGCTTTTCCAAGGGGCTTTGTTCTTGTACATAGTCTTCCACTGTCATGCTTGGGACCTCAAAATTCAGTGTCACGTAGCACTAGCAATCTAACACTTGAGAAGTCATTAAAGATGCATTCAAGCCGTGTGCCGTAGCTTATGACAGTAATCCCTGCGCTTGGGAGGCTGATGGCAGTGAGGGAGACCCTGCCTGGTTTACAAATAAATAAATAACAGGCACCAAGGATTGAAAAGGTTTAACAAAATGCCACTTGTTTCAATTCTAAATGGGTGCTCATATTTAAAATGAGAACATCTAGATTTCTTTGGTTTCTTAAGAAATGGATGGTTTTCAGTAAATTTGGTATTGGAAAAATACTATTCAAACTGCAGCCAAGATTATAGAAAGATATGTGTGATGCTGGGGCTTCAAACATGGTAGGCAGGGGTGCTACTACTGAGCCTCATCCCTAGTCTTAAAGCTGAATATTCTTAGATCATGATGGCAAAGGAAAGAAAATCCATCTTCTTGAGCTCAAGACACTTGAACAAGTGAAGACTTTCCCCTCAAATGTTGGTGGGCCAATACAGAGTGCAAGGGAAGTCTAGAAAACCTGATTGCATCACTATCCTGATAGTGACTTTGAACTATTTTATTTACTACTGTGTGTGTGTCTATGATAAACCTCATTACTACTTATGCCTCAAACTCTGCATTACTGACAGAAGCACACAAGCTTTGTTAGTGAACAGCTGCATTCACAATGGCCCTTTAAACCTACAGGTGTGTCTTTCAATCTAACTTGATGAGAATCCTTTCCTTATTCTTAAGTATCTCAGGCTTAGAATGAAACAACTCCTATTTGCAGCAGCAGAAGGTCCCATAACCATACTAGTACTGTAACTGTAAGGTTTGATTTGTTGCTTACATTAAGCAGCACCGTCAGCAAATATCTGTTTCTGTTGCATGTGCTAGCACTTCGTCATATGTATGAGGTGAGGATTTGTCATTTGGATATCATTTGATTATCTGGAATAATCTGAGTTGCTAAATCAGAAAGTGTATAAAAGTCAACTGCATCAATGTTTTAAAACAGCATTTATTAATTAAAATAAATGTGTTCTAAGTTCTTGATAGCATAGACTCCATGTGATTTTTTTAATGAGCTTGAAGGATATGAACATTCCTTGATTCTTCTGACGTTGTTGTGTGTGCTTACAAGCACCATCACATTCCAGTGCAGGGGTCAGGTGTGGATGGAGAAGGAACTGTCAACATTGTATTGGGGGAAAAAAAAAACCCTTCCTTTAGTAGTTCTCTTTAGTTAGACAAACTTGGAAAGAGATAAAAGCACACCACAGTGTTTGCAGAACATTTATTACAATTAATTGGTGAAGTGATAAGACAGTGTTCAGGTGGCTTGAAAGTTGTTCACAATCACAGCAAAGCTTACTCCAGCCTAGCATATACAAGGGAACGTAGAAATCAGGGAGATGTGTTCAGGTATGTTAGTATGTATAAAAGTGATGCCGAGCATTTATAGAGCTTGAAAAAATATAGGGCCAACCAATGCCATTTTGCTTCAGTCAACTCTCACTTTGCTATACGAAAGGTATCTTCTAAGTTTTCATAAGACTTCTTCGACAAGTAGGTAGTGACATAAAAGGAAAGGGAGAGGCTGTCAAGGCTGTAATACTTCTAACTGGAAGGAAGCAATAGGGAAGCAAAATAAATTTGGTTCTAATAAGCTTCCCAAAAGCCACATTCATGCTTAGATAATGACTTTATGTAACACTTTGTGAAGAGAGCAACATACTGTTATGAAGAATACCTGGTAATTAACAGTCCTACTTTATTTTCGGGCATTGAAAACAATTAACTACATGACTATAACCACTAAAATGTCACCTTAGGAGTCAAATGTTCCTTGACCTTAAAAATTAATGTGCTCAAGACTAGCAAAGTCTTTGTTCTTTGTCCCACTCATTCAGAATACTTAATGAATTTTGGTGTAAATCAGCATCATTCTGAGCTAGTCCTCTAAAAGTATCTATATTTCCTTTGTTTTAATGTATGCTGTGTCCAATTAGGGTCTTTGGTATAAATTTGGTAGTTTATATTTTTTGATAAACTTTCATTCATTTGATCTGTGATGTGTCAATTCCCTTTATTCTTATATATACTGAAATACTACTCTAGTCTTTGGTTTCATTGAACCAGGTTTCATAATAATTTAAGTTTCTTTTTTTAAGTACAATAGTAAATGTATTTTGCCAAATTGTTGGATATACATGTATATAGACATATTTTTATATATGCACATAATTATGAGACTGACCTTTAAACTTTAAAATTCCAGAAATGGTATGTTACTTTTTCTACATCTTTCTAATTCATATTTATGTCCCTTAATTTATCATTTAATTAACCAAAGTTCCCTTTAAAAAAAAATTGTGTAGGCCTGAATGAAGCAGCTTAGCAAAACACTAATACTGACAAGACATCATCTTACACCATTAGCTAACATGGACATGAGAGGCAGTGACCATCTACAGTGTGTGAAATGCCACAAGAAGTCATCAGCAAGGGAGGACAGTTATGTCAGTCCAATTTCTTCAAGAACACTACGTGGGGTTTCAGCTTCCTGTGGAGGGAAAATGTGAAACTCTGGTAAGCAGATAGAGGGAGAGAGGCTTAATATGAAAACTTCACATGAAGGACATGCTCATTTTAGAGAATAAAGAAGGCAATTCAGGGTCAGAGGAGCAATCTATTAGCAGCAGCCAGTAGTTTTCTGAGATTTGTGCCTACAACTTCAGAAGAATATTTTTAGCGTATACTAAATACCTAATTACTGACCAACGTGCTGGGCACCATTGCTATAACACAAAAAGCAATCAATCCCATTGTAAACTAACTAGCAATATATGAAATTACATACATAAAACATCCAAAATATTAAAATTCATGTCTTCCAAATAAAAAGTCCCCTTCCCACAAGTTTCTAGTGAATATCTAACACTTTCAATGTTCAGTGTTGTCACATGTTATCAAGAGAAATGTCTGCCTTGTGTAGTTCTTCCTTAACTGTCCAATGCAGTGCTTTAGAAACAGCCACCTTCCCATACCTCCCCTGGGCAACTATTGGCATGGTGGAGGTGACATACAGAGGAAACACCATGGAACAAAAAGCCTTTTTGTCTTAGTGTAAGAATGAATATTTGTTTTTAAATGTCAGACAAATCAGCCAAATCGGAAAGTAGTATTTCAAAATTTTGCAAACTGACTAATTTTGTACACTACAAAAATAAAAAAGGACCATGTAAGGTTAGAGGTTAGCTATTACTAGCAATTTTGTAATTAAAAAAAGCAACATTGTTACTTTAATAGATGAAAACAATGTAAGATTTTGTTATCCAGAATTAACTTACTTTTGCATCCTTATCATGAGACAGCACAAAATAAGGAAAAGAAAAATTATATTACATCAAGAATCCTTAAAATGTTAGATTGAATGGTAGGAAGTGCACCATACAGTGTAATTTTAAATGACTTAAAATCTATTGTTTTCATATTTGGAAAACAAAAATAGTAGCACTTACCTTCATGTGTCGAGAATTAGTTTAAGGCTCCATGTCTTATTTAAAGTGTTTCAAAAAATGTTAGCGGATGGTTATACAACTGAAATCTAAATGAAGGGATTTAGTATTTACAAATACTATAGCCAAAAATGTTCATAGAATGCCTGTTAGTATGCTTGTTTAGTAATGAAAAATGGCTGAAATCAGTTTTAGTGAAAAAGGGCATTTTTCCAGAAGGTAGTATAATCTATGAAGTCCACCTAACTTCAATCTAAGATCTAAGAAAGATGGAAGATAAAAGAGAAAGGTAAACACTGCCACAAGAATATAATCACCTAAATAGCAATGTAGCAAACTGGCATCAAAAGGTCTGATTTTGGTTTTTAAAGGTAAAGAGTATGGGGAAAAAAACAGGCTTGCTAAAAATTGAGAGTGTGAAGGCCTATGAACCATCTGAAGTATAAAATTTCTTTGGAATCCAATTTAACAAATTATAAGAAGGCATTTATTCCCCTCCAACAATTAGGAAGAACGGGGCCAGGCACAAGACAAACTTACTATTTTGTTTGGTGTGGCTTTTAGTAGTTAGGAACACATACTGAAGCATGAAAGAGGGAATAACAAGTTGTCTAGGGCTTGTGCTTGAGGACAGAAGTGAATATGACATTGATAACTGTTAGTGTTGAATGATATATTAAGGAATGTTCTGTATGGGGTTCTCTGCTTTTGTCTAGATGTTTTCTGCTTTAAAATGCTTGGCTTTCTTTAACCATTACATACACTGAGAGTGACACCTGAGTCACTCAACTCTTTCACACTGTAGGCTCAGAAGTGGTTAAAATGGTGAATTTTTTTAAATCACAATTTCAAAATGGAAAAATGAAAATATAAAATGTTATTTTAACAAAAAGGATGGAGAAGAAAAAGGTCATTCACATGAGACAAAGTATATATGAATTGAAAAGTTATTTCCATTTAATATTAAGTCATTTTAAAATTTCATGTAACCTTTAATATGTTAAAGGATCCCTAAACTAAATTCTATACAACTTATATTCTCAGTGTATCTAGATAAAAATAGCCCATAACTATTCTCTGGAGCTGATCAGATTTCTCCAAGGTGCTCACATTTTCTGGTCTGAAAAGAGTCATGTTGCTTTCTGAATATGCATTATTTAATAATATGTCCTTTCTAAGAATCTAGTTTAATTTATAAATTTTATTCCTTTAAGACTGGACAAGTTGAATTTTATACAAAATGTTTATAATAAAAAATGTAATTTTTACAAGTTCACACTGATATTGTAGCCCAAAATTATTTAGGGAAATCGTTAAAATAGAATGGTTGTTACCAGGTCCTTCCTTCAGTAAAAGAGAAATGGGGAAATGGTTGGCTAATGAGTTATGTAATTTCAGTTCTGAAAGATGAAAAAGTTCTGGAGATGTGTTGTACAACAATGTGAATATACTGGGCAGTACTGTAGGCTCAGAAATGGGTTAAATGGTGAATTCTATGTTATTTAAAAAAACAATTAAAAAATTACCTGGAGAAATGAAAATATGAAATGTTATTTTATCAAAAAGGATGGAGAAGAAAAAAGTCATTCACATGAGACAAAGTACATGCAATACTTTATTTTAGACATGCATGGAAAGCTATTTCAGAATCTGCTAATTTAAAGCAAGCAGCTGTACAGATACCCTCCCCCAAAGTGCAACATTTTGTTACAGCTCAGCATACAACATCCAAAACAAACAGGCATGAGACAATGCATATTTATGCAACATTAAAATGGAATGAACAACATGTAGGGTGGGAGGACGGGAAAAAAAATGGAAATGAAAGACCAATGTTTTAGGATGCTTCCGATGGTAATGGAGATAGCTGATTTGTATAGCTGCCTAATACTACATTTACTAAAACATTTTCACAGCTCTTTCAGTGGGAAACTGGTTTGGAGTCTTTTTGACATGTCCAATTTTTGTCTTTTGAGACAGGGACTCCCTAAGTAGTACGGTAGTAACTCATCTTTCTCCTGCCTTAGCCTTACAAGTGCTAGAGGACAGGCACGCACCACCATGCCTTTTAAGTTATTGTAAGTAACAATTTACTTAGACTTTAAACTCTGTAGACAATGAGTTATCTGGTATATTTTGTAGCACGTATAAAATTAATAATAAATGTTTTTAGTATTCCAAAATATACAACCATAGGTAATAGCACTGAGTGTTTAGAAGATGGCTTAATATATTAATTAAGAAGCTATTAACTAATGAAAACATAAAAGTTTGGATATTGAAAGTTTCAAAAGTGTTAGTGAACAACAGACATTTCAGGAAACTTGTATGGCTTAATGATAGTTTCTTTTTTGTTTTTTTTAAAATTTATTTATTATTTATACAGCAATCTTCCTGCATGTGAGCCAGCAGGCCAGAAGAGGGCACCAGATCTCATTGTAGATGGTTGTGAACTGCCATGTGGTTGCTGGGAATTGAACTCAGGACCTCTGGAAGAACAACCAGTATTCTTAACCTCTGAGCCATCTCTCCAGCCCTCCTGCTAGTTCTTAAAGGGACTATTTGACACTGCACAAATGTGGCTCAATAAATATTGGCACTACAGAATTTCTTGAAAATTGAATGTTTTAACCTTAGATCTTATAGAATTGTATAATTGATTTTTTTCTTATATTGCTTCAACATATACTTTAATGTGATACAGTAGAACATATTAGCTCATACAGACTGTAAGATAATCTTAGAGCTAAATAAAGCTTGGTTTTCTTCAACAATGGAAGAACAAACTATACTATTTATTGTGGTGCTACTAATTTTGCCTGAGTTTCTAACTGTATTTTCTTTGGTAAACATTTATGATTACCCTGGACTTTCTCTTATACTCTCACAAGGTTAATCACAGATGATTTACTAACAATAACTTGTATGAGTTCAGAATGTTAATCAAAACATTCACAAGTCATATTTTGTCAAGAAATCAGTAGTAGACAGAAATAAACTATATGTCAATATCACATACAGAATGAAAATAGGATTAGTAATGTGCACAGAAAAATACATTCAAAGGTACTAGCTCTAAGCTGCTACATTATCATTTTACAGGAGAATTAGTCACCAAGCTGAGGACAGTTTCTTTCATAAGTATATCAGTTCTCTATTTCCTCTGAAATTCTGCATAGCCGACGAGCAGTCATTTAGTACACAGGGACATTAAAATATTCATGGCGTGGCTACAAAAGAAATGCATATATTCTTACACACAGTTTACAAGTTGATGAAGACACAATCAAATTTTGAGAATGTTTAGTTCACAGTAAAGTTAACTACAGCATCAAGTTTGCTTTTGTTCTTTGGTCTGTGGCTGAACATTTACGTTCTTTTTTAAAGTTAAAAAATATTTTATGTGCATTAGTGTGGAGGTGTCAGAGCCCTTGGAATTGGTGTTACAGACAGTTGTGAGCTCCCAGGGGGTTGCTGGGAATTGAACTTGGGACACCGCTGGAAGAACAGGCAGTGCTCTTAAGCACTGAGCCTTCTCTTCAGCAACATTTACGTTCTTAAACAATGTCCAGTTCGGATTAATCTTTTTCAAGTTCATGGTATGTAACAGCAAACAAGATGACCTACATTCTACAGAAGCCTAATGCACTTACTGCTAATCTGAAAAGACTGCCAGCTTAAATCCATGCTAATTAGTGGCAAGTTCAGTTAGAATATTCCCCTTTCACCAGAGTGTTACATTCATTAGGGCCCTAGTACACTAAGGAAAGAGCCCAGAGTAAAAGCTTCCCCAAGAACAAGTTTAAGCTAGTCATCACATGGTATTGTTAAGAACCTATGAAAGCTTTTAATTGTTGATTTAGCTAAAAACATATGACTTTGAGGCTAAGGATTAATTTTTTTTGAAAGTCCTCAAAATGATTTTAAGGAATTCCCCAAATTTGTCAAATGTCTATTTCTACAAATATATCTAACAAGCAGATATTTTCACATCAAAAAATTGACAAAATAACCCAAAGTAGGGTCTTAAATGGACCTTACGGCATCACAGATGATTTTTGAGGTTCTAACTCTAAAATATTAGGCTATACAAGTTTTCCCTTTCCCCTTAAGAATAGTATAATGATAAAACAAGCAAGTAAAAAAGTATTAGTAACAAATGCCCAATGCCTCATTTCCTTATAGAAGCTTTCATTCTCAGTCTTTACCTGTACAAACAGGTTACTGATTTACTGTATTTAAGAATATTTTGTCAACGACTCTCCACATATCTTAATATTTTGTCTAAAGGTAAGTTATAATCCCAATTACGAGTTATTACAGGGAATTTTTTTTCTACAAAACATCAATTTAATGAAATAATAGGGCTGACTAGTGGTATTTAAATGCAATTAACTTTCCAAATAATGCCAAAATACAAATATAAAATTTGACAGAATTATAATTAAAACTGAATTCATATATCCTATTACATTTTGATGTATGTCTGTATTCCAGCGTGTATTCTAGTACGCTTTCTTAATACCCAGTGAGACTCTTGGTGTGATACATATTCTCTGTTTTCTGGAGAGAGAATGGGAATAGTTTAAGTCTTAAATAACTTTATACTTCCGTGCCAGTTCTGTGTCGTTATGTTACAGTTTTTAAACTTGATTTCTCAACAACTTTATATCATATCATATCATATCATATCATATCATATCATATCATATCATAAAAAGTTTTATGTCCATTGAAGGAGAAAGGTGGTTATCCAACAGGGCTGAAGATAATAAATTATAATAAAATTAAAGCAGGATAAAATGCAGTCATTCCTCCCTAGAGAAGACTTACAAGGATAAATAAATTCTACATGAACAATTTTGAAATGTGGCCACCCTAGGTATTGTCATCATTTTTTAACTAACAGGTTTGTTTTTTTACTCTGCTTTGGAAAGGAAAAGAGTTGATGATAATCCAAACTATTTGTGAAAGCCAAGGGTCCATACAATTGCACTGAAACAAGAAATTAGCACTTACCAATTGTCAAGACTATTCTTCATAGGAAGAAACCCCTTTTCACTGGAAAAGCATCCTTCAAGAAAAAAAGCCTCTAAAGTGCACAAAAATAAATGCTGGTATGTACAGTAAATGGTATCCTTTAACTACTTTTAGGATACTAGGAAATGTCCAGTTCAGACTGCTAACATCCGAAGAAGTTCTGGTATAAATAAGTGCTGTAATAACTACTTAACATTTAACGCTGGGTTTTTAGGTAAAAGATTTTACTATGTCTGTAATTGACCAAGATTATTTTCCCCCTCTCATTTGCAAAGATATATAGTAATTCAACATAAACGAATTTGTTCTTTATTGAATCAGTTACCAAGCCCCATACTTTGCTTGTTATTTCTTCTTCCCAGTCTCCTGGGAATGGTTCTCCTCTAGATGTCATTTTTTCCCCAAAGAAAATAAGAACTTTCTTAAGGTTGCTCATCTAACTCATGAAAAGATCTCCAGCATTACTCTGAGTGCCTTATAGCAAAGGAGACCTTTCTTACCTACAACCAGTACTTTTGATTTCGTTCCTATTTCCCCTTCCAATACAGTATACTTTCCCCTTTAGTCCTAATGGTCATCACCTTTTGCATGAGCCCCTTCTCAGTATACATGCTTTTGCAACTTTCCTCTATACTAAGAATAATTTTGTTCTCAAACTACAAAAGGACTGGATGTATTGTGGCATTTTAAGATATTAAACCCAGAAGACAGAAGTCAACTGTTTTCAAAACCACCTGTTTTCCTAAGAAAAGACAAGCCCTAGTACCATGAAATTTCCTAGATATTAAGTCACCATGCTAAGCATAGGACATGGCTCACAAGTTAAACTAATCAGAAAGCTTAAATACTGTTGAACTGAGAGATGCTTAAGATAAGCTAATAGTGTTAGATATCCAAGACTGAAAGGCTAATCTCCTGATTCTAGTTCAACGTGGTAAAATAAAATAATTATATTTAATGAAAAGCAAATATAAGGAAGTGTGATTTCATATTTATTACCTTACTGAAACTGTTTTTAAAGGTGCTTCTTCTAATGTTCACTGTATTATTAAATAGTGTATATTGTTCCATGTGTTAGAACACAGTGGTCTTTTTTTTATTGACCCTAACTGAATTCTGTGGCAAATACAAACTAACACTAAAAGTCTATTCTTTGGGTTAAAGTCCTAAAGGGCCATACAATATGCAAACCTACTAAGGTCTATTTTGAGCAATGATCTTTTAAAATAGAAGGAGTGAAAACAGTTTATAAGGCACCTTTTAGATGACAGGGCTCATGGTAAAGTTCTATTTTACGAGCATTTGTGAATGAATAAGAACAGCATAAGAATTACATGCCTAATTATTTATTATTTCAATTATATGTAGGCATATGTGCCTATATGTTATGTACATGAATGCAAGTTATTTCAATCATACGTAGGCATATGTACCTACATGTGGTTATGTACATGAATGCAAGTGCCCACAGGCCAGAGATGTCAGATCCCCTGGAGCTGGAGATACAGACAGTTGGTGCCTGTTGTGCCTAAGTATGTCTTAGGGACTAAAACGAGTCCTCTGGATGAACAGCAAGTGCTCTTAAGCATTGAAACATCTCTCCAGCCTCCAACTGATTTTCTTTAACATTAAGTGAGTAATGAGTAACAAGAGCTTTATGGCTGTTCCAGATGGTTAGTGTATAAAGTGGACAAAAGCTGATAGTTCGTTGCTCGATTTGCTGAACCTTTATTTTAGCAAATTCTAGTCAGGTTTTTACCATCTGCAGCACTACAGTGTGAACTCTCATTAAAACAGCAGCATTCTTCCACCAAAAAAACTTATAAAATAAGTAATATTAAAAATGCTTGTTTTTCTGGTCTGAAAAATGGAGGGAGGAGCTTTATGATAGTATCTTGCTCCTTGATCATTTATAATTTCATGTCTTGAGTATCTTTCCATATCACCACACAGAAATTTAATTTTATTTATTTGACAATTATGCTAGCAATTGCAGGTATGACTACTGTGTTGTAATTTTCTTCATTTGTTTCCCAGCAATGGACATTTGGGTAAATTCCAATGGCTTAGTATTATGCTGAGCCTATGTCTTGGTCCATATACATGCATACACATGTAAATATACATTTTTCAGTTGGATACAATTTTTGAATGTGCAACTAATTGGACAAAGGGTATAGTATACATTTCATCAGGAAATAGATATAAGACCAATCTTTAAAATGAAATACAAGCTGAAGTGTTTATAAGCAGTGACAAGAATGTGTCTTATTGTTACAAGAAGAAAAATTTTAAAAAGTGTTAGTTGGTATTTTAATTTGTTTTCCCTTGGTAAAGACTTTTTGTCCCTGACTTAGTCATGTCCTCTGCTCTTTCCTACTGGACTACTCATCTTCTTCTATTATTTTCTTAAAACAATAAGCTGAGTAACTTTTTAATTATATTTTACAAATGCTACTCTAAACCTGTTAATTATAAGATACTAAGGACAAATTACTTTCTCTGGCATCTAAATATACTTTCTAAGTAAAACAACAGAAAAATTAGACTAAAGAAATATTTTAAGCTTATTCTAGTGTAGATGTATTTGTCCTTAAACACCCTAAATTTAACCAGTTTTTTAAACAAACAATTTCTTAGAATCAGAAATTAAAACAAACTCTTCAAGACTAATAGGGTAAAGAAGAGAGTATATGTAAATTCAGGTCACTTTATTTTTCCTTTAAGAAATGATCACATTCTAAAGTGGATGAGGAAATCAGCAAAAATCTAATAGTGTTCTGCCTGCCTGTAGGGTAGATTCAATCTTCTTTCCACATAAAAACTCAATTACCTTAATAGATGTGAACAGATCTAGTTGTTGTTGAGAAAATTAGATTATTCTGTGACATCCCATAAGCTTTTCTGTGGGTTAGGTTCTAAAGGCAACCATAGATTATCTCCCCAGCTGCTAGTTATCAGGCAAAGATAATTTGTATGAATCACAGGGGTGATTTTTATAGCCATTTGTGTTAACGTGTTCTCACAATTTTAAAGTTTTCCCTACTCCTTTGCATTTCAAATTTTCAGCCATTATTTATACTGAACACTGCATATACTATTAAAGTGTAACAGTTTATAAATGAAAAATGAAATTTTTAGTTCAAGGTGTTAAATTAAGTCAGAGCTTTCTCAACTTGGATACAACTGA